TGTGTGGAAGTCATACCCTGCATGTTAGAGAAAACTTTGATAACAAAAGATGAAGCAATACCATTACATTTTCTAAATGAAATTAACTAATGTGATATTTGTCAGTGTGTAAGCTAAAAGTGTCCTGATTTTTAAGGCATTTTGATGCTGTGATTATACTGAAAGTATATGTGTCACGTATTTCATAGTTAAGATTCACCCGACAACAAAAAAACAAGCAAGGTGAACATAAATAAATACTGATGAAGCTAATTTTAAAAAGAATATCATGACCAAAACTTGTATTGGGCAAGGATGGAGTGGAAATCATTCAAGAATTTTAGTAATACATATGGAAAACAAAATTCTTCATTACAGAAAAGAAAAAATGGTGTTTCATGCTCATATGTAAAGAAAAAAAATATTTTGAGACATCAAATCCAGTGGTTTCCAAGGTTTTGATTTACCATATAAAATATGTATTACTTTATTTTAAAGTTAACAAAGGCATAAAGAAGTGTGATACAGTATACAAAAACTTTTTGGAATCCTTTGTTTTTGTAACTTTCATAGTGCTATATGACCTTTGATGTCTAGCACATTTATATTGTTTAAAACATTAACTTTCATAGAGACTACTAACGTCAACCACTGAAAGGTTTGTGTAATATGAATTGGGAGCCACTTGCATCTAGTGTAGTGTTGTACATGTATGGATTAGTCCTTATTTTGATATCAAATGTTACCTTTCAGATTTGATATGAGAGAATTCATTTATTTAAAGTGCATTTATGACACATTAGGCAAATATGATTTTCATGCAGAAATGCAAAATTAACCCTCTTATAGCAAGACATATGGAGGGAAAACCTTGAGTGTAAAAGCCTTTACCATGGTGCTGTCTGCCAAAGGCTACTAATTATAGAAATGCATCAAACTCCTGGTCAAATGATAAAAAGGCATTGTGATTACTATAGAGGTAATGCATTATCATTAGTAAAGCCCTTTGCAAGAAGCAGCACCATGACCATACTTACTTTATACGGCAGCAACTGCTAATGCAACTTTTAAGTTTGGCAATTGCTACGTCTTACTTTGAGAGGAGTTACTCTAGTACATTTCTTTTTTTCTCTTGTGACTTGCCTTTTCATTACAAAAGTATATCTTTGATATAAAACTTGTCAGTAATCTAAGGGAATCCTGCACTATAAGACTAAATGTTTATAAATGTTGAAGACTTTGAATCTGTTTTACATCTATCTATCCATTTCTAAGCGAAGGAAAAAAAATTAAGTTAAGTACTGTTTTTCCCTTTACATTTCTGTAATGGGTATAAGTAATATTGTACAAAATACATCCTTTATTGTAAAGGTTCGCTTGTAAAGTCAAATGAATATTGTTCAACACATTTTGTAGTTCAGATTGACAAGAAAAAAAAATGTATATATGCCACAGGGTTCATTAGCTAAGAGTTAGTTAATTTTTACAGATACATGAACATATAAATTACACCAAAGAATTTAAATGTTTTTATGACATTTATTGATGGACTCTCTTGTATATTTTAAGTGCAAGGACTTCAATTCAGCTTTTACTGATAATTGTAAAGCCTTGTTTCATAAAGAACTCAACCATTTGATTCACATTAAAAGAATATAATTTCATTTGTTTGAAAAATAAGTTGAAGTGTGGGTCATTCAGCTCCTTATCATATGCAATCTTATTAGAGATTCTTTAATTACATTTTTAATTTAGTGTCCACTAAATGCAGCCTAGTTTCAGTTGTACTCATTAAAAAAAAAGAAAACAGTAACATGATCTTTAGGGGACATTGTTATTTTAATACCAAAACTATTTGGCACAACTAATGACTAGATATGTTAAATAAATAACATATACATTAGTGCTTGACATTACAGATAGATATTAATGACTAGGACTTACAATGGTATATTACTGGTCTCTTCCTTTTGTCTGTTTGTAGGCCAAAAATAACACCATTTATACATCATCTGAGATTGTATAGATATTTTTTCTTTTACACTGATTTTTATTATCTCTCCAGTAGCAATATTCTTCCTTAAAACTGGTATTTATTTAGCACAGCAGAAATCTACACACTACACGGTGTTGAATCTAAAGTGTCAGTTGGTTCAGGATTTGCTTTGATAGATTCCAGCTCCTCACTTCGAGAACTCTCATCCATGACATCCCTGCAGAGCAGTGTGAAGCAAGATGCATTAAGTATATATGGGCAATGAGGCAATCAAGTTTCAGATTTATTTACAAGCTGATATTTATAAATATTTAAAGAAAAGGCAGAGTAGAAGAAAATATCTAAGTCATATCTAAAGTTCATACACAATGAATTTCATATTTGATTATTTATATGAAAAGCAATAACTATATAGGTCATGACATGTTAGATTTACAAGTTCTCACAAATGCAGGTATACTGTTAAATCAAGTAGGTATGCAGTAATCAGAAGCAAGTTATCATTTTATAAAAGAATTAACTGAAAAAAGGAAGTGCATAAGTAAAACTTTGGTTTACTCACCTGCGGCAGTAAATGATAAGCACGACCACGGCCACATTGCTATGACCAAAATAGACATAATCACTGTTGGAACCACTAGATCTGTCAGAGTATAAAGCTAAAAATTAGAAACACTTAAATAGGTACTGAGATGTTTTCTGGACTTGTTTTAAGGTGAATATTTAATGACACTGAAAGTGAACATAATGTAAATGTAACAAACCAGATGATAGTTTTTAAGTAAAGATGTTTGATATAAAGATGCATTTAATTTTAAAGATGCACCAAGGCATGTTTGCAATGATTTCACTGACAGAAACAAGGGTTGTGTGGAAACGTTTTGATGTCTCATGTATATGTTTGAAGAAAATTTACCAAACTGAAGATGAATGGAGTGTGAGCAGTGCGCATGCAACTGGCAGCAAGGGGAAGGTTGACTTTGGCAGAATTGGGACAGGAGAAAATAAGGAAATGGGGTGTCTTTAACTGCTATTTAGAGGGACTTTGCTGCAAGCTTTATTGAATCCCTAAAGGACACATACTACCTTGGCTGTGGGGAGTGGATAGGTTTATTAATATTTGGTGCTGAGCTCTTTTTTTATGGCATTTCAGAGCTCTTTTTATAGCATTTCAAGCATTGCAATGCAAGAAGGGCTTATTCCATTTTAAAAATTAGAAAATTAAAATGACTAAAGATGTAACAAAAATATATAGAAAACAGACCTGAGAAAATGACTTTAAAATGAATTAATAGAAATCTCAAGCTTTATGCTAAACACATAAAGAAGATCAAAAAAGAAATATATATAAGCTGTAAAAGATCCAGTGAATGAGATAACTATTATCGGGGAAACTTAATTCGAGAAATATGGCTTTTGATAAATAGTAATGAACAGAAAAGGAATATATATTGTTTCTTGTCCATACCATATACTATGTGGGCTTCTTGATACATTTCTGCATGTGCACCATTTGTAGATCCATTAATAAGTCCAGTGAACTCTTTCTCTGTGATATTACCAACTTCCAGCAATTCTTGAAGCTCTGTACAGAAAAGAATTGCTTTCTGATACAAATATAAAACACAATTCAGTAGTATACTCTTGTGCTTTTCACACTGAAGATGAAAGTCATACGATAAAAACGTATCAACTTATTTTGCAAAATGTTTGCTAGGCAATAGGAAAATTTCATGTTAAAAAATACTTGTACATATAGTAAAGAATTTTGCTACAATGTTTGTGAAGTAAAATTTCTAAAAATATGGAATAATTTTCTTCAAAATCAAACACGCAAATCTTCATATACACAATGCCTACCAATGCAGTCAGGAACTGTATCATTCCAGGAGCTTCCTCGGTTGCATTTCAATATTCGACGACGCTCTAGAGTGTCTGGGAATACATGATGGACGCAACACCAGTATTCAGCATGAGTTGCATTGCGAAATGATCGGTAACCATCCTCAGGAATGGGTGGCGATTCGCAGCCCAGAGCTGTACAAAATAATCAAAACTTGGATTACTATGTATCACTTCCAGACCAAAAAGCACTGAATAGAAAAGCAGATGTTAAGTTTGTGTTGTGCTTTTGTGCTACTGACCAATGTATATACATCTTCAGCAACAAACAGGCCATGAAAATAATAACTGCTATATAAATTTATGTTTCCAAATATCTGAAAAAGTGCATGAGTGTCTTCCATTTTTGTAAAAATTTTATTTACATTGTTTTGTGGATATGCAGTTATAGACTGTAATGAGATTTAGCCCCTTATAAAAACAAAGTCTCACCTTCATAGTAAGCAGCATAACCTCGTTTTGGGAATACATCTGTGACTGCATTGAAGTTCAGACTCAGAACTGGTCCCTCAGAAGTAACTGTAATTGGCTGCTTAATCTCACCACACATTTTTAACAGTTCCTTCCTGCCTTCAGTCACTGAGATACTATCTCTACATTCATCCTCATTTGGCTGGACTATATCTGAGGAAATAAAATTAATCTATTTAATCAAATCAAATAAAAAGCTCCTTGTAATACTTAGAAATGATATAGCTTACACTTTCCTTTCTGCAACTGCAAATAACAAATAAGAATACTAAACCATCTCATTATCAAAAGAAAACTTTTTACCTCTTATACTGAGATCCGTCAGTGTGAGTTGAATTTGCTGGCCTTCATCAACTTTTATGGTTATAGTGCAGGGCCCATTGCCTCCCAGGTAATACTGAGGATAACCAACAGTCTGCAACCATCCTGACTGTGCACTCACTTCACTGTCGCACACCCTGACAATGTCTGTTTCTGAAAGACAAAGGATTAGCTTGTAGTATGTACCTTTAAAACAACTTTAGGGTATACATACTGTGAACACAACAAAGGGGAAATGAATGTTATTTGAAAAGATTCTATAGTCTTGTTTATTCTGGAATAATAATAATAGATAATAACAACAAAAGAGTCAGATATATTAGATAAACAA